AACAACAACGTAACCTGGGGGGCTTTCATCAAAGGTTGTTCCCTAGTTTGAAATCTAATATGCTTGCGAACGAGCCCTAATGAACGTCCAGCGAAGCTAATTAGCTGAGTAAATAAAAAACTAAATAGATATCGTATTTTACTGTAAACATGTCCAGCCAATCTTAACAATCACTTCACTATTCACTTTCGTCGTCAATAATCTTCACCATTCTCTTGAAGTCCACGTTCCTGCAACCCGCACAGATTAACTTGCCGGTCCGGAATTTTACTGATGTATACCTGCGCAACAAACACTTAACAGACAGCCTTTACTCTGACACCTAGCCTCATTTACTGTTGAAATCGGCATCGAAATGACCAGGCTCAACGAAGGTCCGCGTCTTTTCGAAAATATCTTTTATTTAGTTTATCTATGTCTCCTTTAGTTGTTGAATTTTCGAACCTCGAGCACACGCAAATGGCCGGGCTTGGGTCATCACAACGGGAGGTGAATCAGGGATGGCCACTCTGTTTGTGCCTGAGAACGCTTCGTGGGGAAACGATAAACGCAGAGTATTTGGAGGAAAGATCTACGCGCACTGGAGCCACAGCAGCGGGTCCTGACCTCTTGTAACTGGGGACGAGACATTGGAAAAATGGGAAGTTCTTGCTGTAGCAGCTGCTGTAACGGGAACCTCCCATTTTTTTCTTTCTCCACCGCCACCTTAAGCGAAGCCTATATAAATGTTGTCGCTGGCTGCGCTTTGATTCGTCATCTTCGCTTCGCTCGCGGCCAGGCCATCATGTGCCATCAAAAAAAATGATGCTTTCCTTCGTATTGCGCGGAAAGGCACACAATGAACTAACACATGTATACTAGCGCGACAATCTCTATATAGGCGCGTGGTGAAATCGTTTTCATCCGCCTTCCATACGTCTACAGAAAGCTGAAGAAACATTTTGTACCTAGACAATTTAAGCAGAAACATCCATCTATGGCGGCTGTGATGGCGAAAGCTAGTTTCGAGTGACGAGCCTACGAATGCTCCCGTAAATCGCCAAGTATACGCTATTACTATTTTTATAACTACCGTTTATAGTTTGAATGCTCTGGTGTTGTCGACTGTCGACCGTCGACTACGTCTTGTTACCTCTGAGAGCTTCCGTTTTCGTTACTTTCTAGGACAGCCTGGTCCTGTTGCAATTAGATAAATCAAATGTGCTGAGACAACGATTGACGCTAACTAAGCAGATCATCGATGCAAGAACTAGATGAAAAACTATTGTCTCTTTCTACGCATGATTTATAATGGCTGTGTTTATTTTTGGGCTTAACTTTTTAACCGTTCACCACTTGCTTTACTATTCGAATTTCTGCTTATGTTGAATTAATGCAGACGAGAAGAGAGCGCTCGTATCATATAGCTTTGCATGCAAATTTGCTAGTTTTTCGAAATGATTTGTTCGTCTATAGTTGACACTCTCGCCAAAACACTAGTGCAAACACATATCCGATTGATTGTCATTTGGCATCTGGTAGTAAAAGCTGTGGCGCTAGCATCGAACCCTGAACATCGAATCCGCTCGCCACGTCGCCAAACCCCTAATGCTTAAAACATCGTAAATTAGGTAGCAGAAAATATTGTGGCTGTCTTGCGAGACATCATTTAGGCAGCACCGCTGAGCATCGGTGATTAGCTTAATCCGTTCATGCACACGCGTCAATGAATAGCATCTGTTTTTGGCTCGTTGCTGTTTGTTTGTCTGGCCGCGTGACACCGCCACTGCGCCCGTGTGTCTGTGTGTGACTTAAAACCACCTTCAAAAAGTGTCTAACCCGATGGACCAAAAACATCATGATGGTAATGAGTTATCGTTCTTCTTTTTATGATATATTGATTAGTAGAAAGAGAACTTGCAACGAGATAATTGTTACGGTCCATTATTCGGTGAGAGTGACACGGGGAATCCGGTTGATTAATTTAGTATTATGAGATAATGCTATGAACTTATATTTCGTAAATAGTTTGTAATTTCGTCGCGGCAAAAATGTTCAAGGTCGAGTATACTCCGACGTACTTCGTTTTTCGTCACAAAGTAATTGTTTTAGGTGTGCAGGGCCGTCGAATCTAACGCATGTTCCCTTAAGTTTCGTCTTCATTTACCTTGCATGTATGCTATCTATCGTAATGAGATTACTTTCTTTTTGTGATGATTATTATTAGTATTATCACTACGTGTGAAATCTAAGCAAACCTTAAGTTATCTATTTGCGCCCTGTTTTACTTCCTCCAATTTTTAGTCGTTCACACTCTTATCCTATCAGTCAGTACAATCACAGTCTTAACTCGCGTAGTCAATCCATTAGCGTTTGAGTGTCGAACGGCTAATCAGCCAAATACATTGCATACTGGTCAGAGCGGAACTGATCAACCGATCAGACAGACATCAGAACGTCACGGTACAGAAAGGGGATCACTTTTTGCTGTCGTAATCGTGAGGCCAGAAACGGATCGTCCTACCACTGATCTCTTGCCAAATTGTTCAGGTGCATAGACCACCTCTTAAGCTACCCCCCTGAATATAGACATACACGCAGGACGCTCATGCGGACCGGCACAGAATGTTTCCAGCCGTTAATTCCTCCGAATAGCAAAAGTAGGAGGCCTCTGAAGTCCTTGTTTAAATTCCACTCAGCCAATCTTTCATCAATTTCACAAGGTACCCAATACGCATGAGAAGAAGGCGGCAGCGATCTCGTTAGCGAAAATCACCAATCGAACTGTCCCAGCATTAACGGACAAAACCAAATTAATTTTAATGAATGCAAAAGCGAACGATAAGACGATCGATATTATGACCGATTATTGTACGATGATCTTGTTTTTTTTTTACGATTACGGTTAAGAAAGAAGGAACGTTGGATTAGCAGAAGTTCGTATAAAAACCATAACATAAACCAGAATCGTGTCCGTTCATTAATGCTTTTCGTTTGCCGAAAATCTACCTAAGTTGTGTGTTCAAAGTTGACATGAAAAGGGAACCTAAATAACCGAATTCGTAGAAGAAAAAGTGTATTCTAGGTCAACAATTGAAATAAGCTCATGTGTAGTACGAGTTCGAAATTCTACAAATTTGATACAATTGACGAAAATAATAGACGCATAATAATGTTCGGACTATATTAATTGAAGTAGCCTGAACCGCGTGTTATGTCAACTAGTAAAAACATTTTCGATATGATAAACACTGGACGAAATGAAACTGGTTTCCTTGCTGTTATCTTCGAGAATTATTATTAAACCTGCGCACAGAGTGAACGAAGCTAAAATGGTTATCGAGGTGAAGTCTTGATGTATTTCATAACGAGCAGTAACACTCGCAGCGTATGCCCCCTCGTCAAATCAAGCTATCGCTGTTAAATTCATATATATATATATATATATATATAAGAGAGAGAGAGAGAGAGAGAGAGAGAGAGAAAGAGAGAGCGAGAGAGAAATTCTGGTAACCTATTACTTCCGATGAAATTATGTCCATGTCGCTGTCACGCTACAAAGGCTAAGCAGTGTAGATATTTGTAACACGTAGGTTTTGGGAGCATCTATTTAACTATGTTGGTTAATTAAAAAGCACACAAAGAAAAAAGTTTGGCGAGTTAAGTGTTAATAATTCAATTTGTTTTTGTTTTGTGTTTTGCTCATACAATATTTTACTATGAATTTACAACAACACATGTATTTTTATGGGTAACAACACTACTGTGCTAGCTTGGTAAACCTTGTTGTTTCTTAATTAGAACCATCCACAGAACTTCGGAATTACAATTAGAACTTAAATTAACTAAATTTGCTCACGAACGGAGAGTAAGCAACTGTAGCTTCGTCCGTTTTTAGCGCTTCTTTATGCGCCGATGATTTCATTCCCCTGCTGCATCCGCCTAATAGCAATCGATAGCTTCAGCTGTCCTTCCGCGCACTTCTACTTTACGTCGTGCTGAACTTTGTTAGTTACAAGCTCCTCCGACCAGAAGCATAACTTCATCATCAATTAGTTCCCTCTACTAACGGTGAAACGGGTCAATTAACATACGTTGTGATGGTGTTCCTTGTTGTCGTTGTTGTTGCGACCGGATCCATTCACACTGAGCGACCCATATAAAAGCAGCAATAAATGATAGTAATAACAAGGCTACTAAGATGACTTTACGCGGCTGTTGTGCGACGCGTTGCAACGGGCATAGTGTCCGCCGTTGAGAACCACTCGGTTTCCTCTTCTTTTTCGTCTTGTACTTCTCCGCGTCGTTATCGTCGTCGCCTATAACCAATAGTGGCAACAACAGCAGCATCTATGTGTCCTCTTTTTGGGCTGCTGCTTGCTCGTCGCCGCTCTCTACGAACATGTTACCGTCGACAAATCGACAAGTGCGACGGAGCTGAATTTGAAAAGCAGCAGCAGCAGCAGCAGCAGCAGCGGCGGCAGTGGCAACGGCAGGCGGACAAGAAGCAGTGTCAAGCAATCCTGCATGTTTGTTGCTACCGATAGGAAATACTAGCAGCAACAGCAGCAGCGGTATTTAACGTTTGATGATGGTTGTCGTTTATCGCGCTCGACGACGACCGATCGGTGACCACCGTCTATCTATTCGTTCGCATGGCATTGCTCATCACCATCACGTACTGGGTTCGTTGACCGCTCTCGCAGTTGGTACTAGCCCCCGCCAACGAAACGGCAAGCCAAAAAAAGTGTGCAGTCGTTCAGCAACGAACTCTCAACTCGTTGTTTTCCTCAGTAGGCAAACGGCCCACAGGAGCCAGTGGCATGGATGGATATCGTCATTTCAAATCCCCGATGTTCTAGTAGCAGTAGTTATTGAAGCGGCGGAAGGCCGCCCGCCCGCCCAAGGCAGCGCCGTTTGAATTTCGGCGCTCTTCGTCATCGTGGCGCTGCGGTCGAGTTGCACCAGCCAATCAGCGTCGGGGCGCTGCGAGTTCTCGCAATTTCTCGCGAGACGGCGGGAAGTCAAGTTGGTGTGTCTCGTCAAACGGGCCACACAGTTTTGTTGGTTGCTGTGCGTTGTGAGCAGAGGTGGACACTGCTGGCCGTTCCGTCCAGCGCCGAAGTGACGCTTTCCGCCAGCAACGCGTGTAGACGTTCTTTGTGGAATCTCTTGTGTTATTTGGACGCTCCTACGGACCCCGGTGAGTGCACGAACATTAAATGCGACCCATCTACGTACCAATAGCACGAAAACTTCGACTACTACGCTTTGAAAGCGGCTATTGGAGATGAATAAAGACGAGGCAACAAAGATGACGTTCCGATTTGATTTCCGTTCGTTCGTTGACGTGGTTAATGCTGCTGCAGCTGATGCTGGTTGTGCCAGCAGTGGCTGCGGTGAAAATGGTTGCGATGTAAGACAGGCCCGTACGAGCAGTAGTCGCCGCAGCAGCAAGGGTAAAAGCCAGGCTGAATCTAAATCAACTGCTGCAGCTGCAGTTTTCATTTTCGTCGCTTCTGCCATTAGCCTCTACACCCCGGAACCTTTTTCTACGGCCACGGCTACGATACTTGCGATTTCTGCGTCTCAGTCGTTGCTGCAGGCTGTCGTATTGCACCGTTGAGTGTGGCTGGCTGGCGGTGCTGTGCTGTTAGTCCTAGTTACCCCTGAGGCAGCTGCTGAGGGTTACTAGGGGATGCTGCGTTCTATGCTCTGCTTTCCTTGGCAGTGAACTTGAAGGTTGGTTTGCTGATTAGATCGTGGTCAGCATGCCACCAACATCATCCGGTCTACAAATTAGTATCAGTCTGTAACTACCAGCCGTTCGTGTCGTGTGTGGGGTGTCAGCGCCGGTACAGTCGCACTCGCGACGAATCTCGACGTGTGGGTCAGTTGTGTGATGCCGCTGGATCTGCTGGCCAGCCACGGTCATGGCTACGCAGCAGCAACAGCGACATTGGCCGTTGTGAGCATCACGAGAGACTAGGGCAAGTCGATCAGTCGACATTGCTGTTGCCACTTCCCCGAATCTTTTCCTTTAAGCCCAAAATGTGCAGTATAACGTGTAGCAATGTGTGAGCGTGTGAGTGGTTGATTCAATGTATGCGTGTAGGGAGTCATGGAGAAGGAAATAGAAGCATATATCCCATCGGCCACTGAATTCGTAATGGCGGCGAAAGAAACCTGCTAAAGGCAGAACAAAAGGCGCACGGGCGTTTGGCAATGCGTGCTGCTGCTGTTGGGATGCTCACGAGCTCCAACAATATTAGGGGGCCCTAGGTGTTTACTTGAGTTCTCGATAGAGGACAAACTATCGGCACTAGCTGCAGTAGGGGTGGGGCACCGCCCCAGCACCAGCAGAAACTGTCATGGGAGTTTAAGATGGGGATGCAGCGTTTACACCCATAATGCACACAGACGCCACGAGGATCGCCGCTCACTGGCTGGCGTAGTTACGCACGATCCTACAAGGTTGACCCAGTTTCCGCGTCATATCGGATAGGAACTGTCCTGTATCTTTCCTTTGAAAAGCATTTTTTCGTCGTCTTCGCGCTTCTGTCCACGAACTCGATATTCATCATCTAATTCTAGCTTCTACATAATCTTTAGTAGCGACCAAAACACATTAACAGCGGTAGTGCTAATTTCTATGGAACTACCTCAGTCAGAGGCAGCTATATAGTAGACATCGTGAGGTCTTCCCCGACTGTATGGTTATATTCAAAAGAAAAGATCATTACTAAATTTAGCAGTGCCAGATTGGCGCCGTCTCAAAGAATAGATGTCACAGAAGTACAAAAAATTATTTAAAGAAATCATTTCGTCACACGCGCAACGATATCTGTTTTATAGTATTGTAGATAGACCACCATCTGAAATTGGTGAAACGTGGTCCGTATGGTCGTCTTGCCATAAAGGCCATTGTTTATACAATTGAGTCATAATAAAAAGTCCCGGTGTGCTATTAGAGGCAAAAGGTAACGCGCCCACTCGATTTCTACGTTCGGCTAATTTTTACCAGCAACTGTAGTTTTCTTGGCTATAAATTGCGGAGTTATTAGTTATGACACCTGCGTAGTTCTTCCTGCAATAAAAATGCGAAGTACTTAAGCTGTTTCAAGTTAAAGAATGGATTGTAGTGTAGCAGAGATAAGCTCATAAAAAGCTATAGGAGATTACTAAATATTAGTATGGCTGCTAATAGCTACTAGTAAGCGGCATCGTTGAGTAAGAAGCCATTTTCACTAGTTTCGTCGTTTACTCTATTCAACATCCGCTTTACCATAATGAAGTAGTGGGAAAAATCCAATATTTTGTAGCAGGTGCTTGTCGTGCTGGGAAAAGATCTCACTTGCGATTGTCGTTTTTAGGCAATCATCCCCCGTCCATTCGATATATTCGTTTGTTTGTAAGAACATTTAGTTGGTGGGTCGATCGATCGATCGGTCGGTCGGCGACCTCACGCCTATCAGCCGCTCACGCCGCGGCCGCATAGAGATCGATTACTGGATTCTTCGAAATCGGAAAGTGCGCTTTTCTAAGAATGGCGAGTAGACATCTTTGCTATATATATATATATATATATATATATATTATATATATATATATATATAGCAAGTATAGTATAGTATAAGCACCGACATTCCCGTTAGGTTTACGGATATTGTTCGTGCTGGCGTGCCGAAGTCCCAGAAGCGCAACAAAAGGGACTTGCGTTATTTTCGCTAGAGTTTCTGACAGGCAGTCGTCGCGATACCTTTTTCGTTGTAAAGAGTCAACTACAAACGGAGACGTGCGCATCTGCACAAGAGAACAAACAGATAGCGAGTAATATAGCAACAAGTATGTATTGTTCACGCAGGCATATTTTGTCGGAGCGTTACGTCGCTCTGCGGCAAGCCTTTGCAAAGATTTCTGGGTATCCCACGGAGATTTCTGGTAAATGTATCGTGGTTCATAACCGTGTGTGGTTGTTACAGGAACAGGAATCGTTAACGCTTACACAGAGCATGGCTTGTTGAAGTCAGCCATTCACATCCCCCGCCGTGTAATATCAGCGATGAGTTAAAGAGGTCCGTCCGTGATATCACAGGCGGTAGTAACCGCGATGGTCGAATGCCACGGGTGCGATCACTGACAAGGTTTGCTCGCGGCCTAATCTGGTTAAGACCGGATAGTTAGCGAAGTCCAACCGCAGCACGAAATATATCCGGCCGCTATGATTGTTTCAACTAAACAACGCCGATCTCCGCATTCGCTGTAATATAGTAATGCAAGTCTATAGGAAGGATGCCATGTAACAAGCCAGACGACCGCTATGTCAGACTCACTACTAGTCAGGATTGTTTCATACTAAAATACGTGAAGTATCATCCTGCTTTTCAATAACAGCACCGACCTAGATCAGAAACGAAAGGCAAACCATAAAGGGAGCGTGGTATCGCTGTCATCTTTGCATTGTCGATATGAGTAACGTTCTGGGTCAGCAGTTTATCCCATCACCTGCTCTTAAGCGACTACAACTATCCTCGTATGCTCATACGTGGGAGCTCTTAATAGGTAATAGTTGTAGTCGCTAGTGCTGCAATAGATACAATTGTCAATGCGTTAGTACGAGCGTCTGTTTCTTTCTCGGTCTTTAGCGTTGTGGTTGTACGATCAGTTTGAGAAATCTATTGCCGTAACCAGCGCACTTTGCTGCTTCATCATCATCATCGCTAGGTGCTACTTCTTACTGCGAAAGCGGGAGCAGCAACAGCCGCCGGCGACTCACTCGGTCACAGAGTTGATGATCATTCTTAACTGCCTTTACTGTAATACAACTGAAACTGCGTCACACAACGTACATGCAACATAGCAACACATACATATATAACATGTATAATACTCCCAAGATAGTAGTGGTAGATTGCGTGGAAGTATGAGAGATGGTAGCATTTGTTCATAAAATGAAAATGACAGAAACGGAGGATTTTTCATTTGTACGCATCCCGTTTCGCCTGTTACAATGACTGTGCATACAGCAGAAATGATCAACGTCATATTTCCGATGTTGTCTTCAATAGAAAAGTTTCCGTGATGGCTGAATGCTGACTGGCCTAGAGATGCGTGGATGTTAGCTAATGAATTTTACTGGTATTGGCGGATAGCTGTCTGACGTAGTACTAACGGTGATTCCGGTAAGCGTGAAACCCCATTTTACAGCCAAACTCGATACCATATAGTAGTGAGAACGATCTTAGCGTTCTACGTATACTGTTCGTGCGTAGATACGCAGCAGAGTTAACAGATGGATCATCGTCCACTCATATACATGCAGAATATTTCTCACACAGGCACTACTTTCTTGCTAGATGTTGTCGTCATCTCAGCGTTCGCTCGCCTTCGTGTTGCTAGAGAATGTCATTGAATTAGAGTAGCCTGCGCCTATCTCACAGTAGTCTATTATAGTAGCGATTGCCGACGCGGCGACCTACATTTTTGCCTACTATAGGCAGACGATGAGCCGTATTGCTTGATGTCTTTCTGCGAAGTGAGAACGTTTTGGTTTCGTTGTCTGTGTCATTCATCCGTTCCGACCGTCAGTCCGTCCAATTCGTCCTTGCTTGATGTCGCTATTCCTGCTGTTGTCGATGATGACGATGTGGCGTCGCTGTCATGCCATCACCACCACTGCCACCACTATATATTGGTATTGCATTGTTGGTGTTTCTAAAACTGGCAGCGATCGTTATCCTTGGCGACTAGCAGAGCTCGACGATAGGTAAGGCTTATGTTGGACCAAACCACTGGCCGGTCGCCATCGCGCTGCTACTGCTGCGACCATTTCTTCAAACCAGAAATAGCCATTATGAACACGGGATGATACAGCTTAATGTATCATATATAATGTATACGTACTGCAGTTGCTGCTGGAAGTTTAATGGCCTTTTTTCCTTTTGCGGAAATTTGTAAATGATGGCCTGTTACCAACAACAGCGGCAGCTGGATAGTGTTACTACGTATTAATTTCCTTAAAGAAAAGAAACGCGTAATTTCAGCTGATGATAAGTAAACCGGCAGGTGTAGGGAACGGTTGCTTAGATGTAATTCGTTCGCTGACGCTACACCGTGTAACCACTTTAACGCATTTAGTAACTTTATTACATATTAAGAAATATCACAGGATACCACTTCAGGTTACCCCAGAAAATTTTACTGGAAACAAGGGGGCAAGGGCTGAGAGGAAAAAGTAGCGACCTTAACACCAAATCTGCCAAAAATTTTTGTGTTAACGATCCTTAATGACAAATGACCGATCCATAAATACGTTATTGCTCATTATATATATTTTTACTGGCGGCAATTCAATGGCGACTTTACACTCTTTTGTGAACTTAAAAACATGTTGCAGACAATAGAATTCACTAGTGATATTTTTAGTATCAAAGCTACGTGGGTTTGCTAACGACAAAGACAAAAGGCCGACAAATCTGTGTACTGTCTAAGTTGATTCAGTCAGCGATGGCTCGGTGGCCAGCAAAATTTGTCAAAGGGCGGATTTTTTGCAGCCATCCTACTATATACTGTTGACTACTATTAGCAGTACACCTGCAATTAACATAGAAGACGTTTACCGAATATGTAGAACCAACAGCAAGCATGAACCTGTTTTTTCGTCTGCCGTCGAATCACTAACGACGACACCATTGCCGCTCACATCTTGCTTAACTACTGGTAGACTTGCTTGGCTGACTAGCTGATTCTCGGGCTAGTTGTTGAACAGTGATTGGTGCCTTTTAGCTGGCCTTCCCGTGACGGTCGAGGCTACTGCAGCTTAATTTGCTTCTTTTACTAAACAGTTAATCGCCAGCGATAGCAGTTGTCGTCCTACTATTATGGCAGTCACTGTTGTCCGTAGTCCTTTTGATGTTGTAGTATTGCGCTGATATGTCTATTCTGTCGAGTTTTATCTGGATAGTTGTATCTACTATGCATGTATGTGCAAATGTCTGTAATATAAATAATACGTATTACAGACGTTTGCACACACATGCATAGCATACAACTATCCAGATATAGCTCGACAGAATAGACACATTAAAGCAGTACGACGACGATTACATATATGTGCTGTAGCTCCTGCTGCTGCCGCGGAAGAGGCGGAAGTGTCGATGGGGTTCCGAGCAGCGAGTCGCGGACCAAGTAGGCTCTTAAAGCAGCCGTCGTTCTATTCCGTTCGCGTTTAGCGTGCGTCTGTCTGCCTATGTGGATCGCCTTCGTTGGGTTGCTCGGAGCGGTCTACCGTTTCGTGGTTAAGGCTTGTCATGGATGTCAGTCGGATGTTATACCAATTGCATATTGGTGTGTGGCCAAACAGACAGACGGCGGACAGGCAGATCTTCCTCTGACGACCTCCTGGCATCTAGCGCAGCGTTGTCGCCACCAAGAAGTAGCATCACGCATCAGCAGCTCTTGTTGCTATCCGTATGTGGCTGCCTTCGTTTGTTACGACGGCGGTGGTCGTAGTTGCCGGTGGTAATATTATCCTGTGGAGCAGCGTCCGTCCCTGTTTCTGCCAACCCCTCGACAAGCAACAAGGAAGGCGGCGATGATGATGAGGACGCCGATGTGTCGTTAGTTTTGCTTTGCGTTTCGTAGTTAAATCGCTAGCTTTAGCGCTAGCAGGAGCTACAAAAACGGCTGAATCGCCACTGACGATGCGACTCGGCTGCCGCTATCTGTGGGCAAGCGCCAAAAACGGGTTACGCGGCCACCGCAGCGGCAGAGACGGACAGTTGCTACTGCCATCGCTGGTTGTTGAGCCGCAGCAAAGGGTTCTTAAAGCTCTTTAGTGTAGGAGCAGCTCTTAACTTCATCGGGGCTTTTCTAATACTGTTGTACTTCCTGTTGCAGTAGTGACTGTCTGCTTGCCTGCCTGCCTGCCTGCCTGCCTGTCCGTCTATCCCGTTTTGTGACAAAAAGCTCTAAGTGAGAACTTCACACAATCTGTCAAGGAAAACCAGCCAGCCAGCCAGCTAAACCTATATATATTAGTGGAGGTTTATGTAAAAAGTTGAATATACATATAAAAAAACCTGGGGGAAGAAAATGTGGTGGGCTTTTTACTCCTTTTGCATTTGTTCTACGACAAATATAAAGGCACTATTTTTATTCACCAAATCCTGTTAGTCGCCTTCTAATACAACAATTGTTGCGTGTAAGAACTTGCGCAACGCTCCTTTCGTTAGAAAATTTGAAGTGTTTAACGTGATATATTGAAGCTTTATGCCGTCATTGCAGGAATAGTGCGGTCCGCAGCGCAGCCGCGCATTGTGTCGGAGCAGTTAGGTTGGAGTCCGAGTTTGTCCCCGCCGGTCCCTCCCAGCGCCACCATAGTAGTGGACACGGAAGGCAGGGCGTCGTCCTCCCTGCTCTTCGGGGGCGGACTGACCACTGCTAATCACTCCCCCTCTCTTCGTAAGGGCTTCGGCTCGCCGCAAGCCGGCCAGTACCGACTGCACAGTCAGCAAGCTGGCACGCCTAACGGGAACCACGCGCACTCGGGCCGCGCAAACCCAAGCCCTCCGAGCCAGCTCAACAACGGCCAATCCTATAACAGCAGTTCGCTACAGCAACAACAGGCTTCAACGGGCGCCGCCATCATCAATTCTTCTTCAAATCATCCCAACAGCAACAACAACAATAGCAACAACGGCCACTTTCAGCATAGCAGAGATCGAGATAGCAACAACTCCCAGACGTCGGCAGGTACTAACCATCACCATGTCTCGGCGAGAAACGGTCCCGGCCTCCGCTGGTCCCAGCACGCTACCGGCGCGCAGGTCGGCGGCCCGGGAGCTAACCACTTATCTAACCAGCCCTCCTTCATAACCAATGGACTCAGCAGCAACGCATCCATCGGCAGCAGCAGCAGCAGCAGCAGCAACAGCTTATCGAACAGTAACGCCTATAACAACAACCTCAGCAACAACAACTCATCCAGCGGCAGTGGCCTCGGAGGCGGTAACAGCGGCGGAAGCAACCCCCGAAGCAGCTCCAACAGCAGTCCAACAGGCGGACTTGGTATCGCGAACGGAGGTGGCGGCGGTGGTCGGCCAGGTGTCGGCTCTGGCTCTGGGGGTTCTGGCGGTCCTAACACGCCCCGTTTTAAGGCGGGCCTAACCTTGCTAGCCAGCCAGGACCAGGACGCCAACCTTGTGTTCCGCAAGGTGCGCGGCATCCTTAACAAGCTTACTCCCGAAAACTTCGACAAGCTCTCGCGAGATCTACTCAATGTCGGACTTGACTCTACCTACGTAAGTACTAAAAGCCAGATTCACTTGGGGCTCCTTTTCCCTTTCTCGTATTGGCAGTAGTAGTACTAATAGCAGACACTAATAGCAGACTCTGCGCTCATCTCCATTATTTGTAACTGCCATTCATGCATGATTATAGAGTTACGTATCAGAGTTGTAGTTAAGCAGGAGGGCTTAATTTACAAGAGGGAAGTGACCTTTCTTTAGGTTTGTATTACCGCAGTGGTAAACACCGACACGATGCTTCATTATTTATTCTACATTTTTCCGCATCAGTGGAATTCGGTTATTAGCTACTGCAGATATACATCAGGACTTGTATTGTTACTGTGGCAGTGGTGATGAAGGTTGTGGATGCTGTATTGTTGTTAGGTGTACCTCAGTTTCTGAAACTGTAGTGCATGCGCCTGCACCTACACCGGGAACAGTTAATGGGGCTCTTGGCAAAAGCGCTAGCATCATCATATCACCATCATCATCATTATTCATACAATCGCGTTGAGCCTACATTGACCTACCTAAAAAACTAAGTGGTGATAGAAGCGCTAATACGATGCCCGTCCCTATATTCACTGCTCAAACTACCGGTTGGCTGGTCTCCTATCTGTTTCCACTTTTCGCTGGTTTCTAGTCCACTGTTTTCTAAATGTTTCAATGCCTACTTTGAGGCCTCTTCTGGCCGTCAAACCAAAATGAAAGGGCGTAGGAGAGCGCAGACAGGTTTGTTTTCGTCCTTTGAGGTACCGGTAGAAGGAGTTGCTGCTTACCTTTTGATGATTTCGTGTGCGAGTTAACTCCACCGCTGCCATCGTTACTGCAGTGATACCAGCCAACAAAGAGCATCGTCCGGCTGGCATTAACTCGTGCAGGCTAGTTAGGTATGCAGATGGAGCACCCTTTGCTGCTGATCGGTCGTAAAGTGGAATCAATTTCTACAAGGGGGGAAGAAAACTGTTTTTTTTTGTTTTTCTTTCCTTTCCCCCTTTTTGTCTTTCATTGAGTTGAAGCTTTTGCTGTGGCGGTAACCGCCGTTTATGAACGACCATCGACGGTCTGAAGTGGTACTGTGATCGCCTGCCGTCGTTGTTTCGTCATTCATTTTACTGCCTTCCTGGAGCCTTTTGGAAGCCTTTCTCTGAAAGGTTTCCTATCTACTATCTCCGATAGTTCTGCCTACTTTCATTTGAGGCAGACGATTGGCAGTCAGCTTGATGCTAATTTATTTGCTAGCTATCTTCCATTCCTTTAAAAAAATTAAAAAATGCTTCAAAGGATAGATAGGGTGGACTGTCCGAGTGTATGTGGTTACGCGGGCGCTTTTTAAAGAGAATGTAATATTGCAAACTATATTACTTTGCTGCTACCAAACCGAAATACATGGATGCTGCTAACAGCGCACCGTGAAGCAGATCAGTCCCTGATTATGCTTGACAGTGATATAATTAACACCATTTCTAAGCCCCAGTGGCGGTTAGTGCAGTGAGCTCGATGCAGAAATACGTATCTTTTTCTGCTTGTAGGTCTTACTTAGTTCCCTTGTGGAAACCATTTGCTGGAAGTTGCGTGTAAATGTTTATTTATTCTGTATGTTTGGTTAAACAGCATCTAGTTGTTGATGTTCGCAACGCCTGAATCGGTTAACTAGGCAAAAGGGCTTGTGTGCTAGGGACGTATCGGCGATCTAGGCAGATCGTTAGTAGCTTGACTCAATTGGATACTTCAGCCATCGGCACCAAAATGATACCACTTCATCACTGCCGTAATAAAAATGATAAGTGCGCTGTCCATTCTGTGCTCCTATTATAAAACCAACTGCTGGCCACAATTTTCTCTGCGGTGTTCGTGCACTTGATCATATTCATCGAAAAAAAAATAGGGGTCGGGAGGAAAATTTGGTGCATAGGCAGCTTTACTAAATGTGCATCAGTAACTTGGGTCTACATTATATACGTTTGGTGTGCATTGTTTACCTTTTACATGGGAGCTAATGTTTGAATCTGTCCAGTGTATGCTTAGAGGGTACCGGGGTAAACAACGATAGGGTTTTCGATTTCAGGTTCTTAAAGGTGTGATCCTGCTAATCTTCGAGAAGGCTCTCGATGAAGCGAAGTACAGTTTGATGTACGCGTCGCTCTGCAAGACGCTTTGTGAACATGCGCCAAATTTTGACCCCCCGCCAGCCAACACCTTCCGCCGACTTCTACTTGCCAAGTGTCAGGATGAGTTCGACAACCGTAAGCGGGCGCTGCAAGATGCGCCGGCGAACAGTGAGCAGCGGACAATTGCCAAACACAAGATGCTCGGGAATATGCGACTCATTGGCGAGCTCGGGAAGCTCGGCTTACTTCACGAAAAGATTCTACACGAGTGCCTGCAGACGCTTCTGCGAGGCAAACGTCAGGAAGACGTGGACCTCGAGTGTCTATGCCATATGGTGCGCACCGTTGGTGCTCGGCTGGATACCGCCAAGGGCCGCCCCTTGGTCGACCAGTACTTCGAGAGGATGGTCAAGCTATATAGTCAGGAGGGCCTCTCTTCACGAATCAAGTTCATGCTGCAGGATGTGTGCGAGCTGAGACGCGACGGCTGGATGCCCCGTCGACGGGCAATTGGAAATCTTCAACAGCCAACGACACTGGCGCACATTCGCAACCAGGTGATGCCCCCACCGCCGCCACACGTCCGCCATTCGCAGCCGCTTCAGGGTCACTCTGGCGCCGGACACGACCATCCGCTGCACGGACGCGGCCCACATGGCCCGCATCGCCATCGTGACAACGCGATGAATCCACTCGGCAACCCTCACGACGACATATTTAACACGCCTGTTGCCCCCCTCAAGAAGTCCATCGTGTCTTCGACTGGCCCAGCCACCAACGACTACTTCGACCTGTTCGACACTAGCAAGCCCACGTCAATGATGGGCTCGACGGGCCGTGATAACCGCGACCGTGATAATCGCTCGAGTCACGGGCGTTTCGGCGGAGGCCATAGCGGCATCCATAATGGTCATCATAATCATCGTGATGGTGGCCCCGGCCACCGCGACGGACCGTTCAACAATCACAACGGCCCGAGGAACAACAATCAGGGAGGAAATGTTGGCCTGCACATTCCAGCACGGTTGCTTAAAAAACCCCTGCCACAACAGGTGGAAGAGATGAGTCTGCGGCCTCACGCCGCGCCATCATTACTCAAGCCTAAAGTTATGCCCCCGCCGGGCGCCCAGCTGCTTGGCGGTAACGCACTCAGCTCATTGTCCCACCCGCTGAGTGCGCACTCGAGCCCGTCGACGCTCCAAGCTGTGTCGGTCAAGCCGACGGTTGCGGCTGCTCCGCTGCCAGTCAAAACCGAAACCAAGCCGCGCGCCACGAAAGCAGAGTTTCTCGAGAAGGTTCAGCGTCTCCTAGATGAACACAAGTCCAACCCGGATATGGCATGCGACGAATTCGCCAAGCTGGACATCCCCAAGAAGTAAGTGAAATAGACACAAAACCAGTTTTTAGTATTAATTTGTGCTTGATTTATTCAATAGAACGGAAAAAATTTAATTTTTATAGAAATTATGTATAGTTCGCTTACTATTACCGTCGTTTTGTCTGCTAGGTTCGTGAACGAAATCCTCGTGGCCGTTAGCCAAGATGTTATGAAGGAGGAGGATCCAGTTTCGATAGACATCTTGGAGCAGCTGGTAACTCGCTTTGCGCCCAATGGCGCCGCCGACACGCTGGCCCCAGTAATGCTCAAGTTGCCAGCAACCAAGCGTGCGGGTCAGCTTGCCGCCGAACTGGTGGCGCGTCTGCTACATAGCGGTACGCTTGATCTTGCCGACGTCGCTCAGTGGACAGACGTCACGAGTGTGTCAGATGACAGTGCTCCGTGGATCTTGACCGTGCTGCAGCTGTTGCTGGCCCGTGAAGGTGAAGAAGCACTGGCAGCCCGTTGTCGTGGCGTGAGCTTGCTGCCGCATCTGCCGCCAGCGGCGCGTAACAAGGATGAGCTAGCTGCGCTGCTTGAACGACACGGGCTGGCGTGCTTGCAGTTGCTTAGCGTTCGGTTGGAACGCCAGATGGCCGGGTGCCTTCCGTCGGTGGAAGCACTTAAAGCGTTCCTTGAGGGGCTCGACGATACGACCCGACAGAGTCCGGAGTTTGTGCTAGCGCTGGTTACGGCCGCATTGCGCAGTGCTTCTTCCTCCAATAATGGTGACCAGGCTGCCGAACTGACAGCACTGCGAGCCCTCTGCCCTCAGCTGCGTAGCTATTGTGCTAAACAACAGGGAATGTGGGCACTGTATGCTGCCCAGGAACTGTGGGCAACAATGAACTGCCCTCGTGGAGTGCTATTGCAATGGTTCAACCTGTTCTACGAAGAAGACATCGTTGAAGAAGCCGAATTCATGCGTTGGAAAGAGGATGTGGAGCATACAAACATGTTCGCCTGCAAGGGTCAGGCGCTCTTCCAATTGAATTCGTGGCTTACTTGGCTTCAGGAGGCCGAAGACGAAGAGGAAGACGAAGCCGATGAGTAAAAAAGCGATGATGGATGAACAACGACTAATAACTTAATACAACTAATAACCGAAGCTAAACCTAAACCTATAGCGAATAGGCGACGAACGAGGTGAAGAAAGACAAAGGAATGCTGAAGTGATAGTTGAAAAAGGTAATGAAGAGGACGATGACGATGACGACGACGACGGCGACGACGACGACGACGGCGGCGACGACGACGACGACGACGACGACGACGGCGACGACGGCGACGACGACGACGACGACGGCGACGAGAAGAAAAAGGAAAGGAAGGGGGAGAACCATATGGAAACAACGGGGATGGTGGAGAAACAAAAGACAAAACAAAAGTCTTAAAGCAGAAGATGTAGACGAAGGAGGAGACGGGGCATTCCGATTTAATTGAACCGAGAACTAAACAACGCTGGTGTGTAAGCACCACGATTCTAAAAGTTAATCAAACGAAGAATAGAAGAGAATATGGCGAAATATGAAGACGACGAAAAAGCCGTTAAAGTATGTAGACCATCCTAGTAACAAAAAGCCAGAACAACAACAATAATAATAACAAAGAAAGCTGAAGGGAAAATTCAAGTCCTGAGGCAATCAATGAATTTCATTCAATTTCTGATGTGAGGCGAAGCTGCTAGTGACAAGATGGTAGAAGAAAGGCGCAATAAAAGGCGAAGAAGACATTGAAAAAGAACTAATTGCGCGAAAAATAGTCGATGGCGTAAGCGAATGAAAGATAGAAGGTGATGCTGAAAAAAAGTTGCGAGAGGTGACGAAGGCAAGGCAAAAGCTAGAAAGTTGTAGTTGAAGGAGGATGATGATGAAAATAATAATAATAATAATAATAATTGAGAAATACTTAAATAGCGCAAGCGTTCTAGGAGCAACAGAAGCAGTTTGTCCAAATAGAAAAATAACCAAAATAAACAACAGAAAGAAATATCTAGTTGTTATAATTCAAACAGGGATTCGGGCGCAGAAGATAACGAAATTTAAAACAATCAAATCTTACCGTTGAAAATGATGATAATATTATTATTTAATTTTTCCTCTACTACGAATCCAAGCGCGCTCAAGTAAAAATTTCGCATGACAGAATGAAGCCATTATTACTATTAATTTTACCTTATTACTAGATAAGGAGCTTATTATGCAAATGTTTATATTCAATTTCCCTCTTTGAGTATTGCCATTAAAAATATTTCATTTACTTGAAATCTGATTGTTTTGTTTGTCTACTCATTCGTCTATGTACCTCATTTTCTACTAATCTGTCCCTGTTCGTTTTTTAGTTATTTCAGTCATCGGCCACTACCTGATTGTTGTTTCTGGCTTGGTTCATTGTCTCCATTTTGTTTGTGCCAGATACAATTCTAGTTGGTACCGATGTTTTGAACAAAACATCTGTCTTCTGCGCCTAGAATTCTACTTGAACTACGACTGTCTTCTAATTAGGTTTTTTACTTGTGTTAACTGCTTTATCTGCTTCTAGAACGTTGACGCTGTTCAGTTAAATATTTTTCTGGTGACAATTTTAATTATAATTAATATTATCATCCTTTGAACACAACTTTTTTTTTAACACTTATTGCTTCTTACCGTTATCATCAAACAGAAATCTAGGTGCAGAAGATAGCGATTAATGATATCACTATTACAGAGTGAATTAAATTGTATTAGGCGCGACAAACGAAAATGCGACAGTAAATCTAGTTGATAACTAAAAAGAACTATAAGCAGATGATGCTAAATAACTAGAAAATCGAGCAAGGATAGACAAGTCGAAAATGGGTAAAACGGTATAGAAGGTTCATAAGGCACACAAAAATCATGGGTACATTACGCGGAAAATGAAATAGCAAGTAAAACGAATCCAGCCGCACATCTCGTAATGAGACTAACAAGGATTAAAAATAATAAATGGATCCATTTATTAAACTTTAATTAGTGGGCGTTGTTCTAATTAAGTTCGCTTCATAGAAAACATTAGATACGGTTAGGTAGGTAAGATATAAAAAATGGAATGGTCAATGTTGCATAAAAAGGCAGGCTCTGAGCAACGATCGTGATAGACTGAGCCACCAATGTGTGGCATGGGAGTAAGCATGTTGTACGGTATGCGATGATAAAGACACGGAGCAGTCTCACTGCGAGGGGCTGTTGCTATTGCTGCGTACAGGAACATTGGGAAGCAAACTGAAGTGCCTGCTACGAGCTTGCTTCCAGTAGTAGTAGACTAGCGGGGGTTCTGCCGTCGATAAACGAATTGGCCGATCGAATCAGATGTAGCGCATGAAAACAGAAATTGGAAGAAACAATTATGAAGATTCGCTATGCTTTTGCTACCAGAAACAGGAGAGCGTAGTCGCAATACAATATAGAAGATCTTAAATAATGCCAACGGGTTACAGTGTCACTATGAGTGCCTGTCAAAATATGTATACGTAGCTTTAGTTTCTAATGATGAAAAGTTTTGATGTTTTATCAAACATTATTTAATGGATTTTTCCCTCAATATGCGGTTTTCGTCACATGCTAGGTTTTGTGTTGAGTTGAGACTGTCAAAACTACACCACTATAACGGTCAGAGTTACAATTGGTAATTTTTCGGATAACAATCTAACTCTAATTTTTATCGAATAATTTGTTCTCCGATGTTTTTTTTTATTTAATTATACATACGTATATGAATTATACACAGTTATTGCATGAACGTGCTGTCTTTCAAATATAAGCGTCATGTCCTCTGTCCGTTACCGGAAAGCTTATTGTTTCATTTATCGGAAATCTGTAATGTGGGTACAAGTAGACAATTTTTCATGCGAAAAGTATGTGACCATAATTTCAGTGTGTGTGCTATACGGCCGTACGCTATTGTCGATGTGTTTGTGTGGGGTCGCGTTAGCGGCTCGCTTGCCACCCTCTGCTCTGCACTCCGCGAGGTACTCTTACAACTGCTGCTGTGGCAGTGGCAAAAGCTATAACGGGGCATGATGAGTTAGCCCACGACATGTAACGCAATCGTAGGTCCACTGCGATTTACCAGTATTAATACCGTTACAAACATTAGCTCGGTGTACCAGGATGGAAATATCGCCTAGGCTCTGTTCACGGGCCTCTTACGTCGGTGTCACCAGAAATAGGCCTTGTCGTGCTTTTCACACTGTCCTGACTGCCCATATGATTTCATCGTCCTCATCATTGGACGCTACACAGTTTCGTAGATGTCATTGTTGTTGTTATTATACCACCACATTCCATCGCCAGGTAATACTCAGATTCTGTATCGTACGCGCGCTACCATGCCCCATCACTTACCGTCGATCGTGCTAGTGTGCGATGCTGCTCGACCATCCGATTGACTGTGGCACGAACAAAACTATATTATTATAGCAGTACTATGCTGTTGTCGCGTCTACATTCTTTCTGTCATCTCCCATGGCAGCGCACTGGTAGTTTACTTCGTTGTGTGGGGAGGGATTCCCGGGGAAAGACAACGATGTCGATTGCGGTGGGCATAAGGGTAAATGGGGTAAAGGCCCACTGCGGCTCTATGCGGTAGCGTTGCAATGTATGAGTAGAGCCCGACGATACAACACGATGAGAGGAGACCACTGGAGCCCTGCCGGCAAGCCAAGTTCGCTTTAGCAAGCCAGTTCTTTGGAAAGGTCCACCTTAGTTAGCCTGCATCCACAAGACAGACTTGCCGGTGGTTAAGTGAAAGATGGGGTATGGAAGACCCTAATGAAGAATGTAAGAGACGAAGTTGAGTTGTTGATGTACAAGCAGTAAGAGTAGTCCTCTTCATATCGTTACGAACGGACGAGTGAACGATATGCACCGTCCTGAATGGGAGAGTAGGAAAGCCCTTCCAGACGCTAAACCAGGGCAGAGAGGTCTGGCGTTTTCCATACTATGGCGACACAAGCTCGTCGATGTTTAGTTTGGCGTTTCTGCAGCCCTGCTGCTACATACGATGAGTTCAAATTGAAGACCGTTGTCCTCGTCGTCCTCGTGATGTTAAAGCAAACCCAGACTAAACGGCGGACCTACAAATCAGCGTGTATATTATGTAATACATACATAATAGAATAAAAAGTGATTCACTCTCTCTCAACGCTTACACATATAAAGCTTACTTGAACATCCCTCACAAATTCATGCCATACATATACAGTCTCTGAGCATCGTCTGTAACTGGGATTCAGGCCGCAACAAAACGGCAGGCGGTGAACGCTTCTCGTCCTTTCTCAATTTAGCATTGCTGTTGCTGGTAACATATACGTATACATTTATCCACTCGCCCATCTTACGCTTACATGCGGACTGAATACCAGAGACAGCGAGAGCAGGGCAGAGATACGAGGTAGCCGCGTCGTTATAGCCTGGTTTGGCTCTAGAGAGGGAATTGCTGCCTCCTGGCATGCGCTTAGTTACGCATAGACAGAGATATAGTCACCGATCGAGCGGCACAAAACCAACCATTGCAAAAGACGGCGCGTTAACCAAAGGCATGTAATTGCAGTGCAACGAGTGATTCGTAGTGGTGCCAGTCGAGGGGCGTATAGGAGTAGCTGTAGTGGCGGTGATAGTACAAGCTGAATAACGTAAAAGCCCTTGTTGTATGCTACCGACGTAGTAGTAGCGGCTGCGACAGCAACGGTAGCGACTGTTCTTGTACGGGAGAGCCCTATGAGGCAGCTAGCTGGTGTCAGCCGGTCTCTGGTAACGGCGTTCTCTAGAGCTTTGGCTTTAAACCTGGGCTAGGAGCAGAGTAACGCAAAACCGAATGGAGTTAGTTGAGGGCATGTTGAGGCTAGGGGCAAGCTAGTCAAAGAGGGACACATGGAAAAAGGGAGGCTGGAACAGACGAAGTACGGTCAGCAACGAAGTCCTTTAGGACCTAGGAGCGGCGGCTGAGGCCCAACTGAAGCTGAACTCTGAATGTTCGCTGCCGAGAAATGGCTGCTAGCAGTCGTAGTAGTAATAATACTGGTAGCATTGATGCAGTTGGAGATAGCCAAGTGAAGGAGTGGCTTCTCTGGTAGGTGAGCAAGCTCTGTGTGAATTGTTTGCTAGAACAGCTCGAGAACACGACGCCACTGTCTCCGGCCCTGCAGTCGCTCTCATTGCTACCACCGTTGAACTGTCGCTACTTCGAGGAGAGTCTGTAATCGAAACGAGCGTACTAAAATAAGCGCTCCAAACAAAGTGCATTCCTTTGCTATACAGCTGGTGCTCTCGATAGTAGCAGTAATGAAAAATAGGAGACACCAGGCGATGGCAGCAGACGACAGTAGCAACAGCAGCAACGAGAACGCAGAAGGCAATGAGCGAGTTGAAGCTTGGAAGTGGTCTTTCTTCCATTTGCGTACTTCTGCGAGCAATGCAAATGCATACACAAAGGAAGGAAGGTGCTTCGGAGGACCAGTAAAGGTGCAGCAAAACCAAAGAATCAAAAAAAAAAAAGTAATGGGCTTGCCGCTATCGTTGCAAACACGGCGATGAAACGCCTCTAAAACGCGTACGGGCATGAGGCTGCTACGACGTACATCGGTCTGGCCGTTGGCACGACTGAATGGAGAAGACGTTTGTTGGCCCTTTTGTCTAGCAGCGTCCGCTACGCCACTTGCGTAAAAAGGCTTACTGCTGCACTCATGGGACAGTTGAATAAGATGAAAAAAAAAGATGCTGAAACGCACCGGGATTTAAAAAGGTAGCGGAGTGCCTTTTTGAGGAGAGAACTCATATTCGCAAGTGCTAAGTTTCCGAACGTGCGTAGTTAAAATAGCTTTGGTTATTTCTTTTTGGGTCTCAGGTACAACGTGCATGTAATTTGAATTATTACAGATAACTGGCAATAATTTTAGTTTAGACGAGGTCAGTTAAATTCGAAAGGCACTGTTTAACGTGCGCGTATATTGAGTAAAATTAACATATGATAGATTTTTCAATGTGGCTAAAAGACAATGATTTGTGAAACAAACAACCGTCGAGCCGCTTTTGTTAGTAAAGCTTCCGACATTTTCTGCTCTAAAAAATCTATGACTGTGGTAAATAGCTGTGGCGCAATTGTCTCATCATCTATTAGAACTAGGCTACATCTGCCCAAGTGCCTCGTAGGAAACGGCAGTTTACGACGACGTTTCGTCTACATTACGTGGCATACATTTAAACCTTAACTGCAGAGCAGGTTTCCTGTACATCTGGCAATTAAGTTACGAGCTGCAGACGCTACCGTTGAGTGTGATCACAGTCATCTGATTATCCCTTTGTACGACGTGGTGTTTTCTGTGTCATTATGAGCCTGCGGAAAAAATTTGCCTGCTGCTTTACTACGTGCAGCTCTTGTCCCACACGTTTAGAATTTCCGTATTTAATTCTTAAACCGCATATGCATAACTATCAAAGTGATTGTACACGAAGGCGTTCTCAGTTTGTGCTCTGCCGTTACAAGATGGCCTCGGCGGTGAAGGCTGTACATTCTCCTCGTGTCTCCTTCTCTGTGTGTCTCGAGCGAAGAACTTGTCTAAGTTGGGAACATCGAAAGCAAGTGGAGAAAGCTAGGGACACGACCATTTACGCTGACTCTAGCGGCTGCGCCAAACGACCTGCCCGACGGGAGACGTCTGCTTTAAACGGGAGTAAGCTCGGCCATCGGGAAAAGGGGCAAAAAAAGAAAGAAGCCCCAACAGCATGAAGAATCCCTTCATGCAGGAACAGCAGTTAGCGGGACCATTTTCACGAAAATCAGGCCAACCTAAATGTTGCTGGTGGTGCTAGCCGTGATGGTCATGGCGCTTGTGTCCTGGCCGCTTCTATCGTGCGTTTCGCGTAGCCACGCTGTCCAAATGGTAGTAATGGAAGCCCTTAACGACCACTCCGAACAGTGTTTGAATTGGTTGACTGTGACAACCATCTATATTAGGAGAAAGACCCTGCGA